GAAGGAAGGAAGGAAGGAAAGAAAGAAAGAAAGAAAGAAAGAAAGAAAGAAAGAAAGAAAGAAAGAAAGAAAGAAAGAAAGAAAGAAAGAAAGAAAGAAAGAAAGAAAGAAAGAAAGAAAGAAAGAAAGAAAGAAAGAAAGGAAGAAAGGAAGAAAGAAAGGAGGAAAGGAAGAAAGAAAGGAGGAAAGGAAGAAACCAAAGAAAATCTGGAGAGGGTCTTAGATTCTTAGATCAACCCTTCTGTCCCTGAGTACACAACATCATATGCCTGGATCAGCCCAAATGGCTATGTGTTCACACCTGGCTACTAGAAAACTAAGGCTTGAAAAGTTCTAGCAGTTTTCCCAGACTACTATAAAAGGAAATCAAACACCACTATCTCAAACAAAATAGCATAAAGCAAATTCTTGCTTACACATATCTAGCAATTTTAAGACACATAATGAGATTTTCACTGTGCTGGATCAAATGCTTCATGCTTAAATCTGCAGATTTTTGTAGTAGTCTCAGCACACAGCATATTTATAATAATTTTTTTCCTTCATCTTATTTTCACCGAATCATGATTTGTTATGTATAATTTCTCACACATAAAGTCTTTCCTCTATACTAGAGGGTCTCACTGTCATTACACAATCCTTGCACAATTGATGATGTAAAACCTTGACTTTTTTCCTTCCATACACACCCACCAGTTCAGATTAACAATTCAGCAGCCCAGTAAAGAAAAATGTGTGGTGGTACACTTACCAGAGAAAAACAGAAAAGATTCATGTTGCTGCTGAGATCCACTCCAGCACCCCAAAATTCTGCTCCAGAGAACTCCTGCTGCACAATGCAGTTCCTCCTTACTCTCCCAGCTGTTTGTACATTTCTCTCTGGAGATTACTGCAAGATAAAATCCCTGCAATAATCCACTGGATTCAGAGCCCATTATCAAATGAGACAGGCTTTCTCAGGACAGTACAAGCAGTTTTCTGAATTAATGAACAACATTTACAGTTGCAGGAACAAAAGCATGGTCTGAATGATTATGATGGACTCGGGATATGTTCTCTTGCAGGCTGTTGTTTCCATTTAGTTTCTAATGTAACAGAAATAAAATTACTTATGCTTAAGACCACTGGAACATATAGCTAGCTCCAAAGCAGATCTCATCTTGCTCGTATTTTCCACAGACACAAAAATTCTTGGACAATGGTACATTTCTACATAAACTAATTTATAAAATACAGCAGCTATTGTTGACTGCATTTTGAATGGAAGCATCTTACTTATATACCTTAAAAATAAACCTACTTGCCATGATCAAATTATTCAAAAAAAAAAAAAAAAAAAAAAAAAAAAACACCTCAATTTGGGGCTGTATATGACAGAATAATTACCAAACCTGTTACTGTGTTGACTGCTTGATTATGCAGATTAGGACTAAAACAAATTTGCTACAAAATTAAAAAACGTATTCAAAGCTGATTTATGGGTTATAATGAAAGGCATTATAGTATATATAGGAAAGCAGATGAGAAAGAAATTAGAAATAAAAACAGTAGCCTATGTGATTAAATCAACAAAAATATCATTGTATAAATTGACAAAATACCACTATACAAAGGAATTCCTATGTATTTCTCTGATATGAAGTAGAACTACAGTCTGAGAAAGAAATAAAAGACAGATAGACTGTGAGTCCCAAGTTGTTTCAGATTACGAAACACACAGAATTATATTGTTCTTGGAATAATGTTCCCTCCCAGCTAATTTCCCACAGCTTATACGTGAACACGATGCTATTTGGATACACGAATAAGTAGTAGCTGATACCAAAGAGCCAAGCAGAACTTTCCTCAAAATGAGAGACACTCTGAGATGCTCTCATTTTGTGACCAAGATCTCAATTTCCTTTTTCTTATTGTAGAAATTCGTATCTGTAAATGTCAAATATCTCTTTTATTGCTCATACATCTCACTACATTGGTTTGTTCCAGTCATTTTGCAGTTTGATTCTGCACTGCAGTGAATTCAAAGCCCTCAATTTTAGCAAGATAAATAAATTTTAACATATTCTCTATCCTGAACAAAACCCAAACAAGACTCACATAAAGGCACTGAAGGCAGACACAAGCAGATCAGATTCACAACTTCAAAATGAGATATTCAGTTTGTGCTTTGCCTGTTTGCTGTGACGTATATAAAAGTCTTGAAGGTTTTTCCAGGCCTTCTTTGCATTTATAATTTTAGGAACACTAACAGACTTTGATCATTCCTGTTCCTCAGCTTCTTCAGGTGAAAAAAAAAAATGAAATAATATCAAAAACTTCATGTGCAAAGTACTATGAAAGAATTGTGATCTATAGTGGTGAACATGCTTTAGCAGGGGAATTGGACTTAATGATCCCCTGAGGTCCCTTCCAACGCCTAGAATTATGTGATTCTGTAATGATGAAAAGCACCATGACCCAATTACAGAGAATTACTTTTCTAAAAAACATCAATTATAGCAACAGCTATCTGGAAAACACTAGGAAGACTAGAAAGCTAGTAAGATAACAAGATACACTATGCAATCAAACCCCAAGAAACTCAGGGGGATGTGTTTTTCATTCAGACTGCTTTAATCTCTGGATTTGGGATTGAGGTTTTGTTTTGTTTGTTTTGTGTGTGTGTGTTTGGCTTTTTTTGTTTGTTTGTTTGTTTTGAAGGGGCTGTGCATATTTACTTGCAAGCACTAAAGATGAAGATTTTATACTACAAATCCTCAAGATAAGCATTGCTAAGAGCCTGGATGTTAAACTGAGCTATTCAGTTTACATTTTGCTTGTATGAGCAGACACACTGAAAAGAGCACAGTTGAAGATAAAAAAACAAATTAAAGATAAAAAAGCAGCCTGTATCCATGCTTACAGACATACGCATATATGGCAAGAAGTACTATAGCAAGGCAAAAATGCAGAGCTGTACAAGAAAATATTTTATAAAGAGAGAGAAATGTTCATCTAGTAACTTTCTAAGGCATTGGGCCAAATCTTGTTTCAGTTGTTCTTGATTAACCATGTGGACAGGCGCAATTCATCACATTAAGCTTGAAATCATGTGAGCTAGGCACTAGTCCACTAAAGTAAAATGTGAAAAGCAGAAGCAGACTTTACTCAAAAGCGAGCTGGAGACTGAAACCAGAAGTCATACAGGTTTAGATTCTGCAAACATGCCTACTGAGTGGATGACCCAGATGGCTTGTCTTCCTTCATTCCTTTCTTCATTCTCTAAAAGGCAGATCTCCAACATTCATCTTGTCTCATTTCATGTGGTGGTGGATTAATCCTTCAGTTTCCAAGTGTACTAGCTATCTCTATATATCTATATTGAAAACACTGCAGTACTGAGTTGAAGTTATTCAAATTGGGTGTAAAATATTGTTCACTATTGTAAAAAAAAAGTTCAAATATCCTGCTTAAGGAGCAGAGATAACTAAACTTCAAATTTCCATTCCATTGTGGTAAAGTTTTACAACCAATAGCCTTCAATAAAAATTCCAAGTGGGATGCCAAAGCACAGCTACAGATATTCTAGATACTAAACCAATAAGACCCCTAAACAAAAGGATGCAAACTTATAATTATATGTTTTTAAGTAATTATACATGACTCTTACAAAAAGTTAACATTTTAGACCTATACTAATTCACTCATACAGCCATCTGTGAGGGACAAGTTGATATTTCTAAACTATAGATGGCACTACTCGTCAGATTCCTTTGCTAAACTAATGGATAAATTAGCAACTGTGAGGAATCATCTATTATGATAATAAAAATAAGGTGCAGTACCTTACAATTTTGTTGGTCAGGATGGATAATACAAAAAAAACACTTAGCATGAGTTTTTAATGATACTCAACACCACAGATGTCTCTGTAGGGAATTTGATTTTTATAAAGAAAAAACAAACAAACAAAAGCTAGAAAGTAAAAAGAATGAATTAGAAGGTAAAATCAGTGTTTTTAATTTTATCTGGCATAAATAGAGCCATTTGCTGCAGCAGCAATGCAGTGTCTGATGCACAGACTCAGATGTGAATGATCCAAATCGTTTATTACAAGTTCTCACATCACTTCTATACCTTCACAAGTTTTCTTTTTCTAGCTTTCCCATCCACCCCTACAACTTTCTCATCCACCTTTACGTGTCAACAGAGCATTCTACAAAACACTCTTCAACCGTTCACACAGGCGTTTATCCAATCAGAGCTGTGAGATGTTCTTTCTTCTTCTAGAGGTGTCCTTGGTTCTCATGCTGTTTATCTTGTTCCACAGCTGCTGCTCTGAACAGTTTTTCTCGTATTCCCACACAGCAACACACCAGAACAGTAAAATCACACATTAAGAGGGGTAGAGAAATCAGTTTCACCAAACAGGAACCATGTGAAACCCTCACTTTCTAACTCTTATCTTGCACTACAGTTATTTAATTCTCTTTATTCACCAATCCATGGTTTCTAAACAGTTGGGATTTACATCTATGCAAGTTGTTCAAACACCACTAAAAATAAAAAATGCCCACAAACTGAGACTTTCATACACTGAGGTTTCTATTCCTGCACAATGAAAAAACTGCATAGTTGACATCTCTGGGCATCACTGGCCTCTTCAGGAGGCTTGGTACCAGCTGTGTTTCACAGTAAGTGGCAACATATAATCTAGCCTGTCATACAAGTAGTCAAGGTCAAGCTATGAATCAAATACCTGAAATTCAGTCTTGGCTGCAGGCTCCTAGACTTATGCTAGACATTCTACTGGTGTAGTTTCATCTGTCACTGTGAGAACCCACCAGCAGAGTTGTGTGACTCACAGATTTATTTGGTTTTCTGGACAAATAAACCCCCTAGAATAATATATGCAATAATAGTTAACCCAGACAAATTTCAGTAAGCTGGAACTAATTATCCTTTGTCTTCCCCCTTCTTTTTTTCCTCCTACAGCACACCTATCCTTAATGAAAATGTGCATCTACTTCTCTGATCATCACCTATTTGTTATCCAAGCATCTCCACATAGATTTAAAATGAAGATTAACCATAGTATTGTCAGATAAAGTGAGTGTTAAATATAATCAGGTGGTAAGCATCCACATTTCCTTATTTCCTCCACATAAAAAAAGTGAATTACTACTTCATTATGAGTTCTAAGTAAATGTTGTGCAGTACTACTTTGCTCCAGAGGCTATGTTGGTAAAAATTAGGAAATTCAAAAATAATGAATCAATTATAGGCTTCCTCTTGGTTCTGCCATTTCTTTGGAAAGGGGCTGTGTATTCACGTTCACAAAATCATAGAATCACAGAACCATAAACCAATAAACCATGTCCCTTAGTACCACATCTACATGTTTCTTGAACACCACCAGGGATGGTAACTCCACCATTCCTCCATGCAGCCTGTTCCAATGTCCAACCACTCTTTCGGAGAATTTTTTTCTTAATATCCAATCTGAACCTCCCCTGAAACAACTTGAAACCATTCCCACTAGTTCTATTGCAAGGTATGGGGGAGAAGAGGCTGATCCCCACCTCGCCACAACTCCTTTCATGGAGTTGTAGAGAGCAGTAAAGTCTCCACTGAGCCTCCTCTGCTCCAGACTAAACAATCCGAGCTGCCTCAGCTGCTCTTTTTAAGACTTGTGTTCCAGCCTCCTCACCAGCTTCATTGCCCTTTTCTGGACACACTCCAGGGCCTTAATGTCTTGTTTATTGTGAGGTATTCAAAACTGAACACAGTACTCAAGATGAGGCCTCATCAGGGCAAAGTACAGGGGAATGATCACC